CTTGGCCTCGAGTCTCTGCCTCGAGGTTGATCTGGTCGTCAACGCCCGGAGGAAGGACTCGCACCTCCCTTAGGAGCTCGGCCTCGTCGTGCCAGCGCTGGAGGGCCTCCAAGTGCAGCGCCAGTTCCCCGCTCTCCACCAGCTCAGGAGCCTCTTCCGTCGGTACCTAAGGGAGAGAGGCATGGCGTTAGCGTCTAACATTGCTAATTTGTTTCGCTTTATAGATATATGCACACATAACATGCCTTTATTGGTTGCTTCCCTCAGCTATCTCAAGTGCGAGCAAGACAAAAAATAAGTGCAGTCTTACCCGCCATGGCTGCGCGAGACCCTGCAGGCCGTGGAAGCTGGTGATGGTCCTGGCGAGGGCCTTGTGAGGGCGTGGGCGGCTGAGGATGGGCGTGGTGTGCAGGGAAGAGACGAGACGGGGAAGAACGCGAGACAAAGTGCTGGCCATTTTTGCTTTCTGTCCATGAAATGTTAAAGGTATTACATAAGTGCCTGAGATCACCGCAGAAACTTCCGATAATGTTCCGTCACTAACAGAGGCATTCATATTTCACGGGAATATAGTCAAGTTTTAGGAACCCAGATCACAGCCCAGAAAGCGATACTCACATTGTACGAATGCCGTGTGAAGACGCTTTCGGATGGGTTGTGTGTTCAGCTCGGAGTCCGTGGTCTGAGTGAGAACCTGCACGATAAGCCATCTTTTTATACAGACAGCGCTATCTCCAACGAAATCGTGTGTATATGTTAGCGCAGCCGTGTGCCTCTACGCGTGTGTTCCCATTGTCTTTATATGTGTGTTAATATAAGTATGTGTATTTTATGTATTCCTACTGAAAGCAGTAAAGACAGGCCATTCTGTAACTACTGTAACTGTAAAGATACAAAAAATCGCACAGAGACGAATGAGCATAGTGATTAACAGGTTGGGTAGAATTGCACTTCATTGGCTGTGTGGGCCGGGAGGGAATGGGGACACACTTGACAAGACAAATAGAATGTCTATTTCGAGCTAAAAGTCTAAGTATTGAATGTTTTGTTTTTGAGGAATATGCGCAAGCATGAATGTCCACGCACAAAATTGTACATAACATACTCTACAATCTCCCTTATATACACCTATACAATCTTAGGATAGATACACAGACACATGTCTCATATCATGTATGTGGGAGAATGGTGGATAGACAAATCCGTTTACAAATTATCTTATAGATAAATGGATAGTGAAATGATTTTATAGATAGACAAACTTTAAGACCGATACACAAAGAAATGAAAAGAATAAATAGGCAGGGAGATAAACATATTAATAAAGGAATAGGTCGATAGATAGGTAAGTGGAATGACATATTATATAGAGACAGATTTTTCATCTGTAAAAAATCGTATCCTACAATGGAGAAAAATATAAGAATTCCTTAAACCATTGAATCCCGTTTGTAACATCTGGTTTAAGCTATTTTAAATTTCCCGCCACCGTAGGGTGCTGCCCTCTGCTGAGAGGCGGATGAAAGCGAGACATGTGAGCAGCCATTTGTTTGGTTCGAAGCTGGCAATGTGCTTTGTGTTAAAACCCGTCAATGTGATGGTTTACGATATTGTCAGACCTGGAGAAAGCCAGAAATTGTAAGGTAAACCAGTGCAATCATGTGGACTAGTGTTTATTTATGATTTTGCATATCTTTCCCTTGCTAACATGACATGAAAAAGGCAACGTTACAGTAACATTAATATCTGTGATTTATGATTTACCTTTCAAGACCTTAAGTTAATTTCAAGATTATGAAGGATAACTATTTACATGTCAATGGTGCTATATGATTTAATGTTTCTAAGTAGGCATGTTCTGATTTGTTTACAGATGGACCGTTTGATATGTCGAATAAATGATTAAACCTGGAAAACGAGTACCTTTACCTTTGGCGTATTTAAATACCTCAATCACCAAGAAAGTTAAACCATTAAAGCATAACCATAATACTACGGGTGTTACAGGTGGATAGATTGATTTTTTTTTTTCAAATTCTGTGTATGTATAACTTAACTGTCTGCTTTAGCTTTTGGTTTTTGTTACATGAAACGGTACTTATTTTGTGTCGATTCTCAAGATTACACCAGACTTTCTAAAACATATTGGCAGTTATGGCACAGGCAGTTTTTTGGGATATAACTTATTCCCATGTTGAAGATTAACCTGGATTTCCATTACTTTTATTAATCAGTTTGGCTATGATGTCATGTTTCTCTCTCTTTCTCTCTTTATATATATATATATATATATATATATATATATATATATATATATATATATATATATATATATATATATATATATATATATATATATATATATAATGTATATATATATGTATGTGTATGTATATATATGTATGTATGTTTTCTTTTTCTCTCACATTATCTCTACCTATCATTATCTCTCTCTCATTTCTCTGCGTGTGTGTGCGCATGTGTGTTTGTTCCCCACAGACTCGGTATTTTAGCACTCAAGGGTTATAAATATCATTTTCCTGTTTCAAAGATTAAGCTCAGGTTTATCACTCTTTTTATCTTCCTCCATACATAGACTGTGAGTACTTTATATAGATAGTACGACTAGACAGTCAATTGACGCTGAGCTTTGAGTATCTATGTATATTATTATTCCTCTTATATTCCGCAAAATTCATCATTTATGCAATATTCATTCTTTTTAAAAGTGTGTTCATACGTGCGCAGAGACGAGGCTCCTCGTCCATATTAAGGAACAAAAACAAGATATCGGCGACGTCTTATCGCCAACATGTTCCGGACTTGCCCAAGCTGGTCAGTGACTACTATCGAAGAAGTGGCTGATCTGTCGAAACTTTTCACAGGGATTAGTTTAAGGGATTCTCTTTTTCTCTCAATATCTCTTTCTCAAAGTCTCTCTCTCTCTCTCTCTCTCTCTCTCTCTCTCTCTCTCTCTCTCTCTCTCTCTCTCTCTCTCTCTCTCTCTCTCTCTCTCTCTCTGTCTGTCTGTCTGTCTCCTTCCTTCCCTTTCTCCATGTCATGAATGTGGCTGACATGTTTACTGCCTGTTTGAGAAATGAAACGCAGGTCAGCGTCGAGGCAGAGGAAGGGAGACGCCTCAGGGTCCCTCACTGCCCACCAGCAGCGACCGAGAGGCGAGAGCAGGACGTGACCTTCCTCAGAACCGAACGCAGCCTGTCTAGACGATTGTTTATTTAGAAATTCAAAGATGATCTGTAAATCTAAGCCAATCGGTGCTAATGAAAAAGCAGAGTCGCCGTTCAATTTAATTTCCACACAACAATGAAGTAACATTTGAAATGAAAGGGGGTTAGCAAAATGTCCTTTCGTGAAGCTATTCCTGAATATATTCTGAATGTGACACATGTCCTTCATTAACTTATTTTGAAGTCTAAAGGAGAGATTCATAGGCTTTTCAGAGATACTAGTAAACGTGTATTTTACTTATCCAATTCGATACGGTCTTCTTTGTTAAATGAGATAATTTTTTTCAATAGCAACAGAATCGTCGTCATATGACTAGAAAAACAGATCAATTAAGAACCCTCTTATCTCTAAACATGGGTTGCAGTCTTTACAACACAAACATTTTATAGGGAAATGTCCATCAGACACTCAGAAGAGAGTCACAGTCACTGTATCCTAAAACCGCATTCAAGGTCCAGACGAGACAGGCAGGAGAGGCGAGACCAGGAAGTGAATCCTCGTCCACTGTGACAGCGCCTTCGTCGTCGAGGTGGAAGGCTTTGGCTTCGGTCGTCGCTCGTGGCCTGAACACCCCCCCCCCCCCCCCCGTGTTCAGCTTCCTTCTTGGGATTGGACAGTCCAGAACGAAGTAGGGACATAAGTGTGGTGTGAGAAGGAGAGGTGCACGGATGGCAATGCGAAAAACAGAGAATACACAACATAGCATTATTATACATATTTCAGTAATATGATATAAATATAGCTTCGTTAAAAGATTCACGTGTATGTATGCGTATATATTCGCGTGAGTATGTACGCCTACCTTTCCCGCATGTACTACACAGCACATCCTCTCCACCCTTCTCTAGATTGGATGTTCCGGGACGCAGTTTTTGGGATATAAATAACCTGTTTCCCTCACTGAAGATTAATCTGGATTTCCATCACTTTAATCTTTGCTCCAGACAAGTCACGCCCTTGAGGTTCGGACTGTGAGCGCTGTCGACAGCGGCCCTGATAATCAGTTTGATTATGATGCCATGTTTCTATATACATTTACATATATATATACATCTTTCTCATATCCTTATTCTCTTACTCATTATCTCAGTCTCCCTATCATTATCTCTCTATTTTCTTTCATTCTCATTTCTCAGCGTGTGTGTGCGCATGTGCTTGTGTATGTGTCTGTTTGCCCCCCCCCCCCCCCCCCTCTCTCTTTTCTCTCTTTTCTCATTATCATTTATCATGTTATCATGCGTGCGTGTGTCTGTTTCTCTCTCTCTCTCTTTCTCTGTTTGTCTATCGTTCACTTTATTATACTGGATAAGGATATATATGAATACTAGATAAACATGAAGTATTTTATTTTTGAAATGAGATACTTTCTTCAATAGCGACAGAACATCGCAGTCACATAAGTATAAAAAACAGATCCTCTGTTAACAACCCTCTTGTCTTTAACGTGGGTTGCAGTCATTACAAAACGCTTTACATAAAAATCCTTTGTCAAGAGCAATCAACATATCAGTAATTCAAAAGAGAATTACAGTCACTGTATCCTAAAATTACGCATTTAAGGCGAGACAGGCAGGAGAGGCGAGACCAGGAAGTGAATCCTCGTCCACCGTGACAGCGCCTTCGTCGTCGAGGTGGAAGGCGCTTGGCTTCGGTCGTCGCTCGTGGGCCGGGGGCTTCAAGGGAGAGCCCTGGTGTCGCCTGAACAGCATGCTGTGTCATTCTTTTTGAGAGTGAAGTCAAGCCGAAGTAAG